GAACAAATAAAAACCCGACCACATTAATCTGAACGAAAGATATGAGTTCTTGTTATTTCAACGTGATTCCCTGATCATTTGAGAAGAAACCCTTTTAGCGGGTTCAGCACATTCTTAGAAGAAGTGAGGAATGGATTGTTTGACCGCGATCACACTGGAGACATAAGAAACTGTAAATGTATGCAATCATTTATGGCATTAATAATTAATATCTAATTCTTCTCTGTTGAGATTCCTGGAAAAGGGAAATGACAATAAAGAGTTTTCATTAAAAAAAGTTGATTCAAGAACAAAACTCTGTTATTAGATCAGTATTTTTCTCATATGACAATTACTGCTCAATCTGAAAGGTCTTCCCGCTTTAGGGCCGGATAACTGAGATGACTTTTTACTGACTTCATACATTATCAAATACACATGTGATCCGAAACCAACACACTTTTAAAGATATGGTTTATACGTTTATGGCAGACCAACTCGCGCAGTGAAAATCAGGTAGTCACATGACCCTGCATTAGGGTTCAAAATGTAAGACGTCAAAGTAAGCAGTGGAGTAAAGTACTGATACCAGAAACATGCACTGAAGTACAGTAACAAAGTATTTCCACTCCTCCTCTACTTCCCACCTGCTCCTGCACTCGTTCCCTTCCTCACCCTGATGTATGTTAACCCTCCCTTCCTCTAAAGTGCATATGAGTTCAAGTAAACCCAGTTCTCTCACCGTTGGCCTCGGTGTCGGAGCCCGAGGACCGGCTCTGACGCAGAGGGTATTTTTTGGCCGTGGTGTGTGTCGCCCCCTGCTGGCTGCGAGTGACTCTGCGTCCTGAGGAGAAGACAGACGCTGAATCCTCTTCAGATCGGACAGCAGCCGGAGACACGCAGGAGTCTGAGAGGAGAGGAGACATATATCAGACTTTACAGAGACACTACTGTGAGGAGAGGAGAGGAGAGGAGACGAGGAGAGGAGAGGAGAGGAGAGGAGAGAGGAGAGGAGACATATATCAGACTTTAAATAGAGACTACTGTGAGAAGAGGAGACGAGAGGAGACGAGAGGAGAGGAGAGGAGAGGAGAGGAGAGGAGAGAGGAGAGGAAAGAGGAGAGGAGACATATATCAGACTTTAAATAGACAGTACTGTGAGGAGAGGAGAGGAGAGGAGAGGAGAGGAGAGGAGAGGAGAGGAGAGGAGAGGAGACATATATCAGACTTTACATAGAGACTACTGTGAGGAGACGAGACGAGAGGAGACGAGAGGAGAGGAGAGGAGAGAGGACAGAATGAAGAAGTCTCTACTTTATTTTTGTATAATTGTTGAGTTTCCGGGTATTTTTAAATACATTTTAGATTTTTCTGCATTCACATTTAATACTTTAAAAACATTTCACTTATTATACTTTCTTAGCTTTACCAGGAATTTAACTTGTGTATTTGTACAGTGTGTATACTTTTACTAGTAAACAATCTGAATACTTCCACCACTGGTTAGTGTGTAGTTCACAGAGGCTTTATCTGCACACTGCTATAAAAGTCTCTCATTTACTTCTCCAATATCTGTCCACACAAACTGCATATTCTCATCATGTGCCTTATAATTGATTAACACTAACTTTGCTCTTCCTTCAATCGATTTATCTCAGAAAACCTTTGATGTTTACCTCAAATATTTGCGTACGTTTAAAAAAGTAAGATGTTTTTTGCAATACTAAAAACAGTATAGGATGTGAATAAGATAGGTTTCTGATGCTGATGCTAACACACACACACACACACACACACACACACACACACACACACACACACACACACACACACACACACACACACACACACACACACACACACACACACACACACACACACACAACACACACACACACACACACACACACACACACACACACACACACACACACACACACACACACACACACACACACACACACACACACACACACACACACACACACACACACACACACACACACACACACACACACACACACACACACACACACACACACAGTATTTATCCATTACATGCTATAAGATACTTAAATACTCTTAAATTACTTGTTTTTCCATTATCTGTCCCACAAACTGTCTATTCTATTCTATTAATTTAAATACACTTTGCTCTTCCTTTAATGGATTCATTATAATAAACTTCGTGTGTTTACCTTGAGAGCTCCGGCTGAGGCGCAGTGAGGCGCGTGTCAGGCGCGTGCTGCTGCGTCTGTGCGCGCTCCCGAGAGCTTCGGCGTGCTCGAGATCGGCGGAAAAGTCCGAGTCCTCCGTCCCGTCCGAGCTGCTGCCGGCGGTCCTCTGATAACACGGAGAACAACAGAAAACATCAACAACAACAACAACAACAACAAAACAACAATCAGAGAAATCATGGGAAATAAATTAAAGAAAGATGACTGATTTTTTATTTATTTTTACCAGCGGATAATTCAATAAAGACCCCATCCTGAGGGAAGAGCACCCCCCCCCCCTCTCTCTCTCTCTTCCGGTTCTACACTTGTCAATACATAGTATACTAAAAAATAATCCTAATCGGTATCATAACGCTCCGCCACACACACAGAATAACACATCTACCATTACCGCCAATTTACCACAACACGTGAACGCATCTTTTCACGTAAATCTCTAATTTACAATCAATTAACTCTAACAGCTATTACTCAGAGCGATCAATTAAGACGTTAAACTAAGAAAAGGGTTCGAAAAACTGCTGTTTCTGCCTGATGTGTCCAGATATCAGCTGCTTTCTGCCTCCACTCGGAATGGAAGTGGGGAGACTGATAAGGGAGGTTCACCCCCCCTAAAATCATCTGAGTGGGGGAGGGGCGAGGGGGAGACAACATGCCATTTGCGTTCAACAGAAAAATACATTCAGAGACCATCCTACATCCTTTTTAATAAAAACCTCTAATACCTGATACTGAGGCTACCAAAATGTGGATTACAGTGACAAAACAATGTGTGTATGATTCAGTCATTGCACTAAAAGCAGGGAACCACAAAAGCTATATTGAATACATGATTATTGTGATATCCGTGGGGGTAAATTGGTAAAACACTGCGGTTTAAACCTAAAAACATGAGAATGAAACATAATACAAATTAAGGGAGCTAAATCATGTATAAAATGTATTTAAAGCTTTCTACAGATACAGAACAAGTGCAGTTATTAGGAAAGGTAATAATAAACATATAGGAATAGAAAATAACTGAAATAATAAGGATTATTAATTATATTACGCTCTGTTGGTCTGTGCTTTATGCGAATTAATAGGCATATCATGCAAAACAGCCTGAAATATTACCATGTATTACTTATAAGGACATTTAAATAGTATAAGGTACTAATTCAAGTTTCTTTTAATGGAAAATGGCAGGAAATACTTTTGTCAGCCTAATAAATATTGAGAGTTCCTGTTTTAGTCATATTAAAAAACAGATTATCTTTGGTTTTAGACCGACAAAAGCAAATATCTCTTTTATCATGCAAACACAGCCTGATAATATTACCATTTAATACTCTTAAAATCATTTAAATAGTATTTAAATTGATAAAAGTGATGAAAAAGCAGATTAAATATCACTACGCTACAGCACGTTAAAGTGTATTTGAGAACTTCATAACAACTGCACCTCTTTTACATTCAACCAATGACAACACAGAGGGGGCGGGCTTTAAGAGAGTGGGACCGAATCAGCGCGGAGCATCTCCTTTACACTGCGGAGTGGGCGGGCTTTAAGAGAGTGAGACCAATCAGCGTATGGCTAGTCCAGATCCCATCCAATCACAGCGTTGTTTTGGTGATGACGCGTCGCTCCGGCCCCGCGAACAGCTTGTTCCTTTTTGAACAGAGCTGCCGTTAGCGAGGAGGGAAATAATATGACCTAAATTCATTCAAAAAGCCCCAAATGTAAAGCTCTTCTCCCGCGAGGACGTGATAAACACACGCACCTTCAAGCAGTAAACACTATATATACTGATTTATTATTATATCCTCCCTCTCCATTACTATGAACATTTTGCAACTGTATTTATATTTAAATACTATATATATCTGCTACTGTAATACATGGGTCTTCTATAGGACAGTCTAACTTATCCAGAACATGTTATATAAAGTATTCTGTGTGGTTCATGTCCCACTATACGTATATATATACTTGATGTTATTATTGTTAGTGTTATTTTAGTTCATTTTATATGTTTATTCCACCTTTAAAGGTTGTAAGATTTGAATTTGAGAACTCACTGCTGCTGTAACTAGTTAATGTCCCAACTAGGGATCAATACAGTACCTATCTATCTACACAGCAGACATTGCACGTAAATGAGAGGTAAAGGAAAACAATAAAGATGTACACATGAGCAGTGGAGGATAAACACAATATGCAAAACAGAGAATATCAATAATGAAGCATAAATACCTATAGAGTATTTTACAATTATAAAGATAATACACAAAATGTAAAATATTACATGTTTAAATGATTTACATTAACTTATACAATTCCTTGAACACTTAAAGGTCTCATATCATGCAAAATGCACTTGTTGATGTCTTCTCTACATCAACATGTGTCCCGGTGTGTCGGGGAACTCACGCAGCGTCAGAAAATAAAACCCTCTCTCTTTTCCTCCGTACCCAAATCTCTAAAAACGGGGAACAACGGAGCTGATCCAGATTTGCGTCCGATATGACGTAATATCTGAAATGTGGACCCACGGGCCAATCAGAAACGTTGCTATCAGAAACAATGCCCGACTGTTTTGGACGTAATATGGTCGGTGTTTACATTAGCATCGCTAACACTCAGAGCTAACCTGTACTGGAGAGCATGGTTGCGTTCCAATAGTCCATTTAGCTTAGGAACCTTCCTAACGGAGTGAAATGACCCGGAAGTCCCTCAGTGGCAGCCATGATAAGTGCCGTTCCAATTCTCTAGATGAAAGGAAAGGAGGTTTCAAACTTCCTTTATAACCTCCTTTAGCTTAGGAACCACTGGACCTCCCTCACCGAAAGGAGAGGAGAAAATGCTGCCCCACAATGCCTTGCAGCCGCAGCATTTGCCGTCACTCAACAGTCGGCCGTTCAGGAAAACAACCGATTATGACGGAGAAATGATATCATGAAAGTTACGGTGCTTATTAAGCTTTTTAAAACGTATGTGGTAAGTTGCCAAAGTGCTTTGTTCTGAACGTTCATCAGTATTATAATCAAAGAGAGAAATATGAACGTTAGTTTTTACTGAAATGATCAAATAAAGTCAACATCTCACAGTCTTTACTGAGCTGTGTGGGGTTTGTTCAACTTTTAAAAGATGTTTGAATGGTGATATACACAGAGATAGATGTTAAGGACTAACGTTTATAATAAATACATCTGTATTGATTTAAGATCTTTTCATCAATCATACGTATTGGGATCATTTGTATTAATGAGGACCGGAGGGAGAGGGGGACGAGCAGAAGCTTCACTTTCCTTTTTTATTTCAATTCCAGCTTTGGTCCTGAAGAATCTGTTTCTCTGTTGTCCCCGTTCATAAAGCATAAAGCAACAGCGTCAGAGCACAGAGTCTCTAGATGAGTTCACAGGAGTCCCTCGTTCTTATTGAACATCCATGTTGTAGTCCGCTGTATAGAGAACTGTAGTCTCCATAGTTTCCCCACAGCAGCAGACGCTCATTCAGGACGTCCGCTGGAGCATCAGAAACACGTGGGATAGTGAAAGTGCAGTCGATTCTCTAAAGCACCGCAGTCTCTTCTCCTAAGTCCTTTTGAATTCTCCTATCCACTATCCCTTAACCCCGTGACCTTTCACTCAGAGGTCAAGGAATAGGAGATAGGGTTAGAACTTAGGAGCTGATTTTTGGATTATCGGAACGCAACCCATGTGTGTGAAGAAGCAGGAAGTAAAAAGGAACTCACCTTGTGGTATAACCGGCAAGAGAGAAAGCCTTTGAGCTCCAAACTGTTTCAGAGAGAATCCTTGATAATCCATGATATGGCGTTTCATCACGGCAGCATTTAGTTTAGACAGTAGCTGCCGGGTCCCGCATGAGCTCAGACCCTCCTCTTTAAAGCTTTATACCCAAATCAGCACTTTAGAAACAGGAAGTGGAATAGAGGGATATGAGGCGTGGCTAGAATGATCTGTTTGGTGTTTGGAGCAAAACACTTCATAGACGTGTGTTTTATATACTTGTATATCTGAGACCTCTGCTATTGCCTACAAACAGCACGATAGGTGACCTTTAAGTTCAATAATTCCCCAGTATTACATTGCTGTAATTTGAAAGCAATGGTTCTTATATCGTACGCTCATGTTGCCGATGAGGGGGAATGATAATGTCTGATAGTTGTTGATAATGTTTGCACAATATTAAAATGTATAACATCAAGAAATGGTATGTCCTGTTGGTGTCCAGGTGAATGATTAACCCTGATGAGCAACAGGTGCAGTCATGTAAGCATCTCCATGGATGCTCTATTAAAGTTATGTCTGTGAAAACATGAATAAATAAATGATCCATGCTGCTGTAATGACAACAACCTAGTACAGCATGCCAGTCCAGCCTGTATCAAACCCCCATAATGCAAGCATTAAACACAATATACTCTTTATAATGTACACTGGAGTTAGCAGAATAGTTACGGTTTTAATTGACATTTAAATGAATATAAATGTCAATTATCCTTAATTATTGAAGGATAATTCACATTATTGTTTATCATCTACTGCTGTTGTGCATATATTGACTTTGTTTGTATTATTATTGACCTCTACTGCAGTAATGTGTGTGCAATGTCTTATCCATGCTGTAAGGACAACAACAATTCCTAATTTGGGATCAATAAAGTATATCTTATCTAATATAAATACACAGAATAAAAGGCACTGTACCTGATGCTAGTCCAGCCCATCAAAACCCCTAACATGTCAAAGAAATGATATGTATCTGTACTCTGGGCTGCGTCAAGCATGAAAGGTGCTATATAAGTCAAGTGTATCATTATTAGTACTTTATTTGTATTATTATTGACCTCGCATTCATGTGCAATGTGCATGTGCATCTATGCAGCTGTAATGACAACAACAACCCCAATTTGGCATCAATAAAGTATATCTTATGCAATCTAGTACAACGCTAGTCCAGCCTGCATGAAGCCTCTCTAACGTGCACTACAGTGAGCAGAGTATTTACAGTAAGTCGTGTTATTGGTGATCGATGACGTGATGTCCTCGCGCTGCTCACCTTCCTCCGGGGCATGGTCCAGGTGAGGGTCGCTCAAGTGAGTCCTCTCAGGGGGGGAGGGGGTCACGTGCTCAGGGTGCACGGGCCTCAGACCCCAACAGATCCGCAGTTCTTCTGATTTCAGCCCAATACTGAAAAAAAAGACGCACCAATATGTTCCGCACTTCCCTGTGAGCACTGCGCATGCGCAAACAGTGCTTGTTATTTTGGTCCTTCTACAAAATGCCTCCGTGTGGAGCACAGCAGCTGTGGTGGAACCTTCCGTCAACACATTGAACATTATATCAGATTAATCAGAATAGTGTTCCTCCCATCAGCCAAAGACAGCTTGATATCCCTCGAGAAGCATAAGATAATAATAAGATAAGATAAGAAGTACTTTATTGATCCCAATTTGCGAAATGTTTGCGTTGCAGCAGCATAAAAAGAGGCAAAAGGCGTTGTACATGAGAGAAAGAGTTGAAATAAACAATCCAATATGTAAACATCTCAAATAGAAAACATTTTTTATAATGATTTATTTTATTTATTTATTTTTCATAATGTTAATTGCTTATGTGTGCTCCGCTCCGGTGCAGTAGATGGCGGTGTGGTCTCCTCTGTGGTCTCCTCCTCCCATGATGAGCCCATCAGAGGAAGAAGACCCTCCTCCTGTCACATGTCCTCCAGACTCAGCTCTTCACTTATTTCTTGCAGGTTCTTTAGCTTCAGAGTGAAAGAAAGACCCTGAACGCCTCACAGGACACGCGGAGCTCTCTTAGATCTGCTGCTGTTGTTATGGCTGGAAGCACCAAGAACAGTGTGCACGAGATCTTTCACAGCATGGAGTCCGGACCGGAGGGTGCCTCCAGTACTAACACTGCACAGGTGAGTACACACCGAGTACTACTGATACTCGTTACAGTATACACACCGAATACTACTAACACTGCACAGGTGAGTACACACCGAGTACTACTGATACTCGTTACAGTATACACACCGAATACTACTAACACTGCACAGGTGAATACCCACTGTATACTACTGATACTAGTTACAGTATACACACCGAATACTACTAACACTGCACAGGTGAGTACACACCGAGTACTACTGATACTCGTTACAGTATACACACCGAATACTACTAACACTGCACAGGTGAGTAGCCTACACACCGAGTACTGCTGATACTGCACAGGTGAGTACACACCGAGTACTGCTGATACTAGTTACAGTATACACACCGAATACTACTAACACTGCACAGGTGAATACACACTGTATACTACTAATACACAAGTACTGTTACAGTATACACACCTAATACTAGTTACAGTATACACACCTAATACTCACAAGTAAACATGCACCTGCAGAGGAGAAGGACAGCTGTGGTCACACTGCTCAGTGTGAGAAAGTACATTTACTCAAGTACTGTACTTAATTACAATGACTGTACCTGAGTATTTCCATGTTATGCTACATTGTACTTCTACTCCTCTACATCTCAGAAGCCGGTATTGTACTTTATACTCCACTACCTTTATCTGAGAGTTTTTATACACAGTTCATGTAATGATAGGTTCAGATATCCAGAGTACAAAGTCATTCAAACTTTCACTTTAATGATCAATAATTATAACAAACTCATTTCATATTTATGATTGTGCAGTACTTATACTTTTGATACTTTAACTATATTTTGATGCTAATACTTTTGTGTACTTTTACTTTTGAATGCAGGAGTTTTACTGTACTTTGTGCTGTTGCTACATGTGAAGCATGTGAAGTTCATTAAGTGTAAACTCACGAGACTCACATGTGACTCAGAGCTAGAAGTACTCAGGTATTGTACTTGAGTAAAAGTAGAAGTACTCAGACCTTGTACTTGAGTAAAAGTAAAAGTACTCAGACCTTGTACTTGAGTAAAAGTAGAAGTACTCAGATCTTGTACTTGAGTAAAAGTACTCAGATCTTGTACTTGAGTAAAAGTAGAAGTACTCAGACCTTGTACTTGAGTAAAAGTAGAAGTACTCAGACCTTGTACTTGAGTAAAAGTAGAAGTACTCAGACCTTGTACTTGAGTAAAAGTAGAAGTACTCAGACCTTGTACTTGAGTAAAAGTAGAAGTACTCAGACCTTGTACTTGAGTAAAAGTAGAAGTACTCAGATCTTGTACTTGAGTAAAAGTAGAAGTACTCAGACCTTGTACTTGAGTAAAAGTAGAAGTACTCAGATCTTGTACTTGAGTAAAAGTAGAAGTACTCAGACCTTGTACTTGAGTAAAAGTAGAAGTACTCAGACTTTGTACTTGAGTAAAAGTAGAAGTACTCAGATCTTGTACTTGAGTAAAAGTAGAAGTACTCAGACCTTGTACTTGAGTAAAAGTAGAAGTACTCAGATCTTGTTCTTGTGTAAAAGTAGAAGTACTCAGATCTTGTTCTTGAGTTAAAGTAGAAGTACTCAGATCTTGTACTTGAGTAAAAGTAGAAGTACTCAGATCTTGTTCTTGAGTTAAAGTAGAAGTACTCAGATCTTGTACTTGAGTAAAAGTAGAAGTACTCAGATCTTGTTCTTGAGTAAAAGTAGAAGTACTCAGACCTTGTACTTGAGTAAAAGTAGAAGTACTCAGACCTTGTACTTGAGTAAAAGTAGAAGTACTCAGACCTTGTACTTGAGTAAAAGTAGAAGTACTCAGACCTTGTACTTGAGTAAAAGTAGAAGTACTCAGATCTTGTACTTGAGTAAAAGTAGAAGTACTCAGACCTTGTACTTGAGTAAAAGTAGAAGTACTCAGATCTTGTACTTGAGTAAAAGTAGAAGTACTCAGACCTTGTACTTGAGTAAAAGTAGAAGTACTCAGACTTTGTACTTGAGTAAAAGTAGAAGTACTCAGATCTTGTACTTGAGTAAAAGTAGAAGTACTCAGACCTTGTACTTGAGTAAAAGTAGAAGTACTCAGATCTTGTTCTTGTGTAAAAGTAGAAGTACTCAGATCTTGTTCTTGAGTTAAAGTAGAAGTACTCAGATCTTGTACTTGAGTAAAAGTAGAAGTACTCAGATCTTGTACTTGAGTAAAAGTAGAAGTACTCAGATCTTGTACTTGAGTAAAAGTAGAAGTACCAGAGTGTAGGAATACTCTGTTTCAGTAAAAGTCCTGCATTCAAAATGTTCCTCAAGTGAAAGTAGAAAAGTATTCTCATCAAAATATAGTGAAAGTAGCGACAGTAAAAGTAGTCGTTGTGCAGATTGGTCCATTTCAGAATAATATATATGATATGTTTTGATTACTCAAGTAAAGTACAAGTACCTCAGAAATGTAATTAAGTACAGTACTTGAGTGAAAGTACTCCCTGATTGAGGATGAGTTGGTGTTTGTGTACTTTGCTCTTCTGTAAATCGTTGACTCATTTCTTTATCTCCTTTATTTAGAGGAGGGGTCTCACTGACCAATCACAAGAGAGCGTGGCTCAGGGTGTCTCATGGACCGTGTTACTGTTCATGTATTATTATGCTCTAAACAATGAAATATAGCATTTATTAAAATCACAACAGGGCAATATCCGAGTATCACTCTGCCTCCCTTCTCTTCTAACCTGTGCCTCAGACAGAAAGCACAGCATGGAGAAGAGAAGAGCCAGTTACAGAGATACATGAACACAGCAGCGAGATAATCTAACTGCACACTGACAGTGAAAAGAGCAATTAGATATCTACAGGAAACTAGACGCTCACATCATTCATGTAAATATTACCAGTATCATCCATGATGTATTATTTCATCATGGATGAGAGCTTTTCAGTCTGTATGGTTTCATTGTCTCGTGTTTTTGTCCTATCGGTTTTATCTAAATGTTTTTATGCTGCTTGTTATGTATGTATTGATGAACAGCACTTTGTCAACTTGTTGTTTTTAAATGTGCTGCATGAATCAAGTGGGATTGTAACCTGGAAGTGTCTCAGACAGAAAGGACAGCATGGATATAGGAGTTTATTTAAATGGCTCAATGATCCACACCCTGTGATTATTATGCTCTGTGCTCTCAGGCCTGGTTGGACCATCGCTCTCGTTCTCTGGGTCTCTTCATCGATGGGAAGTTAGTGGTTCCAGCAGATAGACCGAGCCGCTCGCTGACGGACTGTGAAGGTGACGACAGAAACTCAAGCCTCACACACTTCCTCAGTTTCATTACCTTTCTAATAACCATGTGACGATTACTGTGACGATCAATAACAAGTGTGTGTGTGCGGCTAGCAAAGAGTATACAAGTATAAACACAGACTCCTCTTCCTCCTCTTCCTCCTCCTCTTCCTCTCAGGTGCTCAGCTGTGCAGTGTAATGGTTGCAGGTGATGAAGATGTCTCAGTTTGTTCTTCCTCCTCTGTGATCGGCTTTAAATCCTGGAGCGAGCTGAGCTGCTCCCAGAGAGCCAAAGTGATGCTCAGGTACTGTTTACTTATTTAAAATAAAACACTAAAACCCTTGAACACTCAAAGCAACGTGTAACAGCGAGGTTGGTCCACAGGGCAGAACGTAGTATATTCACAAATAACCCTCTCAGGGCGTGACATGGGTTCCTATTCAGTTAATGACCCGCGTCACGTGATCGCAGACTTTCCCAGTGAGAACAAAAACATGGCGGACACCCGATTTATTTGTAGTGGAAAATCCTAAATTGTCGGATAGTTTGTCGTTAAAATGCTTTTTGATTACATTTCTAGCGAGAAGTTAATATCGTACTTTTAGGATCTGCGTCCAGTGGATCCATAGTTTGATAGATATTACCAAGATTAGTTGAGCTCCATGTTTTTTCTTTACAAAATATTGTATCTATATCTGCGTTTCACTTCGGTTAAATGGATTCCTTGCGTCCCTCACTTGGCGTCGTTTCCTATGGTCGTTTCCTATGGTCGTTTCCTATGGTCGTTTCCCTGCGTCTCTCCCACCAGGGAAGCATGGAGAGATGCAAGGAAACCACGAGTAGTAGTGTTGCTTTTATTTGCTTTCAGTGGTCTATTGTTTTTATTATATGGCTGTTATTTATTTTTTAATTATTACGTTTATTCTGGTTTGTTTTGTGTTTGTATCTTGTATTTTAAATGTATTTATATTATGTTGTGTGAGCTTATCTCTCTGTACAGCACTTTGGTCTGAAGGTTTTAAAGTGCTGTATAAATAAAGTTGGATTGTAGTAGAACCTTTATTTATCCAGGAAAATCAATTAAGAACAAATTCTTCTCTACAACGATGACCTGACAGGTAGGGGTGTAACAGAAGTCACGGATACCGTTACACCCCTACCTGACAGGTCATCGTTGTAGAGAAGCAGGGAAATGAGTTCTACGAGCAATGGGACGTCCTTTCCTCCGGAGCGTCACGTGAAGCGACGTCCGTTTGTGATGACGCCGCACAGCTGATCGTCTGACAGCAGCCAGATCAGTGCATGCGCTGCATCGTCCAATCAGTGAGCGATACACAGTAAGGGGGCGGGGCGAGTGTCTGAAGATTTCACCGGAGGATGGTCTGGTGGTTCCTCCATTATCGCTCCTCGGTCCTCCGGCACAAATAAGGCCACTGGGACGCTACTCAAGATGGCGCAGACAAATCAACTTCCAGTGAGACCGAGACCGAGGAGCGAGGAAATGAAAAATAACCAAAGTGAGACGCACCCCATGTCACGTCTTGAGAGGGTTATTTGTGGGTATACTACGTTTGGCCCTGTGGACCAACGGAGCTATTACACGTTGTTTTGTGAGACTGGGTTGGAACATCCGCCTGGATCCATCTTCTTCTTATTCATAGACGCATGCATGCTCCAGCATCTGGACTAACTATGTTGTAAATGTATTGTCTTTTTAATGCACACACAGCATCTATTCTCCACTAGCTGGGGGGTTTCCCCTTCCTTTTTTGGGTTACTCTGTAAAAGCACTTTGGGCTCAACCATGAAAGGTGCTCCATAAATAAATGTTATCATGTTTATTATTAACTGGGGGGTTTCTCCCGTTAACTGGGGGGGCTTTTCAATACGGTCTAAACCAGTGGTTCCCAACCTGGGGGGCGCCAAAGATCGCAGGGGGGGCGCCAGGCCTCAGATGATTTGAGGCCACATATCATATTTAGACTTTTTTTTTTTTTTTTTTTTTTTTACATATAATTGTAACTCAATACATGATTGTCACTAAAAGCCTTGTCTCTACATTACAATACAATATAAAAAATAATTGATTAATTAATTTTAATAAAAATTCAAGTTAGTATTAAAGGCATAAAAAGACAGAAATGTATAATTCTTTCTATAGAAATGTTTCTTCTGCCGTAAAGTGTCCAAACCGGGCTTTTCTGGATAAGTGCATGTTTAAAACACAGCCATTGTCCATGCCGGTTTCAGTTTGATTATTCGTCACAGTTGCTCCGATCAGATCGGTCTCCTCCATTTTGTAGATTATGTACGACTTTTGAATCCACATAAACACATCGGCAAAATCCAGTTTACTTTGAGCATGTGTTTTAAACAGTTTAATCCCTTTGTGAATTGTTTCCACTTCCGCCGTCCTTTAATTTCTTCATACAGCGGGAATCCAAATGAATTAATCCTGAGTCCAATAACCATCAAAGTCGCTCCAACAGTGCTCCTTAATTACGCTTTCATCCTCCTTTCACAACATACTCCACATTCATCCAGTTTGTGACAGTAGTTGTAGCATTTGAGACTTTTAAACTTTAATTACCGCTGTTGCGCCCCCCCCCGTGTGTGTGTGTGTGGGGGGGGGGGGCTTCCAACAGGAGTCATTTGGGGGGGCTCTTGGGGAAAAAGGTTGGGAACCCCTAGTCTAAACAGATCTTATATATCTTAACGTAAAACCGTTTTTATTGCATTTACCTTCTGTAACGGCGTTGATGTTTGCACAGGTGTGTGTGTAACTCTACCTGTGTGTGGTCCCTCAGGATGGTGGGGGTGCTCGGGCAGCACGCAGTGTGTGTGTCGGAGGTGTGTGATGTGTGTGAGGCCGCCTGCCCCCCCGCCTCTCTCATCAGACTCCTGCAGTTCTACAGCAGCTGGGCTCAGCTCCGAGACGCCCTGATGCCCAGCTGGACCCCCCGGGGTGAGGAGAGGAGGAGATGGGAACACACCACTCTATATATATATATGCATGTTACCAATGGTGCTTTGCGTTCTTTTGTCCACGGGACTGTAAAGTCAGAACTGTAGGGTTAGTTAAACAATTATCTACATACAGAGTTTGATTATTACAAATAATGATATCAATGTCGAGTTGAAGTCCAACATCAGTTGTTAAAGTGTAAACGTGGTGTAAATATTAATATTAATGTGTTTCTCTTCCAGGCGTTGTGTTGGTGGTCGGCTCTGACGACTGCTCCCTTCAGCAACTGATGATCAAAGTGCTGCCAGCCCTCGCCATGGGTAACACACACACACACACACACACACACACACACACACACACACACACACACACACACACACACACACACACACACACACACACACACACACACACACACACCACACACACACACACACACACACACACACACACACACACACACACACACACACACACACACACACACACACTGCACACTCACACACACACACACACTCGCTCACACACACACACATACACTCGCTCACACACACACACACACACACTCAGAGACACAGACACACACACACACGCATACACACACACACAGAGACACAGACACACACACACACACAGAGACACACACACACACACACACTCACTCACACACTCACACACTCTCTCACTCACACACACATGCATGCACACACACACTCACACACTCTCTCATGCACACACACACACACACACACTCTCTCATGCACACACACATACTCATATAATCTGTTAGTAACATTTTCCTTAATTTTGTAAATTGACTTTTTCAAAACGTATCTTTAAATAAAAGAATGTGTAAAAACAACAAGAAGGAAAATAAAGTTTTAAAAAACTAAAATCTTGTTCTCCAGGTAACTCAGTGATCGTGGTGCCAGGTCTTAGCTCCGCCCCTCCTGCGCTCCTATTGGCTGAGCTGTTCTCCGCGGCTGGACTTCCTGCCGGCGCTCTGAATGTGTTAACAGGAAGTGACACGTTGTTTGGAGCCAAAGTGGCGGCGAATCAGAACATCAGCTACGTCACGTTCAGCGGAAACAAGCAGGTGAGACTAAGGAGACACCTGGAGACTCAGGAGACACCTGGAGACTCAGGAGACACCTGGAGACTCAGGAGACACCTGGAGACTCAGGAGACACCTGGAGACACCTGGAGACTCAGGAGACACCTGGAGACTCAGGAGACACCTGGAGACTCAGGAGACACCTGGAGACTCAGGAGACACCTGGAGACTCAGGAGACACCTGGAGACATGTTTACTGATATTACAGAGCTCTATGTATCTTTTTTTAAATCCATATGTTGATATAAATATATTGTATTTATATATATGATTTTATTCTGAATTGGAGCCCCTCATGCCCCTTCCCCCCTAACCCCAGATTAATATTATTATATATTATTATATTCTCTTCAGGAGGGTGTTCTGCTCTGTGAAGCGACGGCAGGTCTCGGCGTCTCTGTCTCCGTCTCCTCGATCCTCGGAGCTCGATGTCCATTCATCGTCTTCGAGTCGGCCGACATCGACAGCGCTGTCGACGCCATCGTCCAGAACGTCTTCACCAAGAGGAGAGAGGTGAGACATCCCATAATCTGTCAATACAACTTCATTTAAACACCACTTTTCATCCATAGTAGACAGTACAAATTACACATCCCCCCCCCCCCCCCCCCCCCAGGTGCACTGGGTGCTGTGTGTGCAGGAAAGCGTTCAGGAGCGTCTGGTGTCTCGACTCAGACTCAGGATGTCTGGGATGAAGAGTCTGAGTCTGAGGAGTGAAGAGGAGCGGAGACTGGTGGAGGCTGCAGTTCAGGAGGCAGAGCAGCAGGGGGCCACAGTGAGTGAGCACACACATACACACACACACACACACACACACACACAGAGCCTCACCTGTCATACTCCAATGTAACGGGAAAAAAACTAAATAATAATAAAATGTCTCCACTGATCTGTGTTGTCAATGTGATTTCTGTTTGATTCCAATCGCTTTTTATAGTCAAAATCAACAAATTGGCCGAGCTCCGCTACAACTACATGGGAGCGATGAAGAGTGAGGCAGGGACGAGCTCTGCCTCTCGTAAGCCCACAGTAACTGGCTGGAGCGCGGGCACTTATTTTGTGAGCGCGCTCAAGCCAGTTACTGTGGGGTGAGGTGAGGCACAGATGAGCTCTGCCTCACCTCAGAATGCGTCACCCCACAGAAACTGGCTGGAAAGCGGGCACTAAGCGCATGCCTGCACCATCTCACTGTAGGTCACCAATGTAATGTTTGTAGATCCCTTTATTACATTTATCCTCGCCATCCATAGTCTCTAAATAACTTATTTCACGTATATATGATATTTAGGCTCGCTGGTCTCATCATACAACGGCAATGAAAAAAGCACCAGGGGAGGCAGCCATAACCTCTGCCGCACTGAAGGGGGCGCACGTGAGCCCACGGGTTCTTGTTGCTACTGTTATTCTACGCAGAGACGGTAGACCAGATGCAAACAACAAGCTAGACTTTTGAAACGAGAGGAAGATAAGGAGGACTTTTACAAAAAAGTAATAGAGATTGTTGTCCAGAAGGATAGCATGGACTTCATCTTCAAGTCAAGGTAAGACCACCATTGTAATGAAAATGGAATCTTACTAAGAAAGAACAATCCAATATTTAGATGTTGGTTATCCTTTTGTTGAACGGTCTGTTTTAAAATGAATCGAAACATCAGACCAAAAAAGCTTTTGAAAATAACAGAATATTGTATATAGAATAATATGTGAGTCCGTGCCTCACCAGCCTCACAACTTGTTTCTAAATTAGGGAGGAAACTTAAAAAAAAACATATCTTTAACCGAACAACAAATCAGAAAAATAAAGTAAAAAAACTAAAATGTGTTATTTAATATTTAAACGTCTTTCCAGTTGGTTCAGTCCTGCTCGCCCCCTTCCTCTGGAGCCCAGTACCCCCCCACGGTGATCTTAGGCTCCGCCCCCTCCTCCCCCTGCGTGGTCGCCCCCCCGCCCGGACCCCTGCTGCCCCTCCTCACCTTCAGGAGCAACTCTGAGGCCGTGGCGCTGGGTGAGGAACAATTTGAGAAGGAAATCAAATTTGAGAATACAATTTAAAAAAATAATTAAAATCAAATTTTGTGTGTGTGTGTGTGCGCTCCTCAGCAAACCACAGTCCTCACGGTCTGGCGGCCTCCATCTGGACTGAAGAGCTCACTCTGGCTCTGGAGACAGCGAAGAGGTACACATATAAATATTTATATAAACAAAAAAAATTAAAATAAGATAAAAAATAAATACAAATATGTATGTTAAGGTAAAAGTTAAGTAAAAATGCACACAAACACTCACACATACAAACACTCACATACACACACACTGACACTAACACACACACACACACACACACACACACACAGGAGTTGTATATTTTGTACGGCGACCTTGAGAGCCTTGAAAGACGCCTTTTATAAATAAGATGTGTTATTATTCCACTCTCACTCTCTCACCCTGCCCCCCCCCCTCTCTCTCCTCAGTGTGTGTGTGGGCTCGGTGTGTGTGAACTCCGTCTCTCTCTCAGACCCCTCCCTCCCCGTCTCCCCCCACAAAGAGAGCGGCTCCTGTACCGACGGAGGTCAAGAGGTCAGTCTCTCACACACTCATCTACACACACACGCTAGGGCTGTACCCGAATATCTGAATATTCGTTCGTTGGAGTACTATTCGGGTTTCAATTTCGTTATTCGGATATTCGATTTGTTTGTTTTTTTCCCGTTTTTTTCTCAAATGGAATTTATCGAAATCTCCAATATCAACGTAAGAGCTTGTGCCTCTTCGGGGGGTGCTAACACTTAACCATAAACGTTATCGTTTACTTTCTCCGTCTTTATATGTAGATATTACTTTTCTCCGTTAATCTCCGTTACGTTGTTTCCATAGCAACAACAACTTCCTGTCAACAGCGCTAACTCTCCTTCAAAATAAAAGCATGTCAAAATAGGAAGCCAAGCCAAATTACACTTAAGACACAACTGCAACGAAAGTAACAAACACACAATGCCATATCCTTTTCTATTTCAAAGAACACAAATTGGGTTACTTTAACAAATAACTATAAACAACAATACTGTAGAATAACAAAATGAATGCCGTGAATACACCGAGACACACGCGTTGAAGCGGTTCGCTGCTGATTACTACGCCTCCATCCCCTTTTTCTCTCAGGGTCTGTACCAGTTCCTTCGTCCCTCCTCCTCTTCCTCCCCCCCTCTCCCCCGCTCCTCCCCCCTCTCGATGGATTACTCTCAGTTTGGATCTGCAGCCCCCCCCACCACCATCATCCCTGCAGACTCTGCCAGGTGAGGCTCTTTAAATCCTCATTACTGCTTAATAACAACATCATTAAAGGTCTCCTATTAGACTGTTCTTTTAGGCACAGCTCTCAGATCTATGAAAACATTTCTCTGAAGTGTTTTGCTCAACAGACCAAACAGACCATTCATGCCTCACCCCCCTCTCTTTCAGCTGTTACTAAAGAGATGATTCTGGGTCAGTAGCTTTAAAAAAATAAAAATGCCGTGATTAAACTCCACATCATGTTCCAAACCACATCAAGGATTATTTCTGAAACAGTACGGAGCCCAACATAGAGGCTAGCTCTGAGTGTTAGCATGCTAATGTAAACACAGACCATATTACTTCCAGAACACGTCTCATTGTTTCTGACAGCAACGTTTCTGATTGGCCCGTGGGGGTAAAGCCCGCCCACATTTTAGTAATGTCGTCATGACGCAGCAAATCTGGATCAGCTCCGTTGTTCCCCCGTTTTTAGAGATGTGGGTACGGAGGCGAAGAGAGAGGGGTTTATTTCCTGACACACCGGGGAGGGGGGATGAGTTTGTTAAAAGACAAAAGTGATTATATGGAAAGGAACTACAGCACGGTCACATGACTTCACGTCACCACCGCTAAGCTAAAGGTGGCTAATGTTGGGCTATAGAGGAACTACAGCACGGTCACATGACTTCACGTCACCACCGCTAAGCTAAAGGAGGCTAATGTTGGGCTATAAAGGAACTACAGCACGGTCACATGACTTCATGTCACCACCGCTAAGCTAAAGGAGGCTAATGTTGGGCTATAAAGGAACTACAGCACGGTCACATGACTTCACGTCACCACCGCTAAGCTAAAGGAGGCTAAAGTTGGGCTATAAAGGAACTACAGCACGGTCACATGACTTCACGTCACCACCACTAAGCTAAAGGAGGCTAATGTTGGTCTATAAAGGAACTACAGCACGGTCACATGACTTCACGTCACCACCGCTAAGCTAAAGGAGGCTAAAGTTGGGCTATAAAGGAACTACAGCACGGTCACATGACTTCACGTCACCACCGCTAAGCTAAAGGAGGCTAATGTTGGGCTATAATGGAACTACAGCACGGTCACATGACTTCACGTCACCACCGCTAAGCTAAAGGAGGCTAATGTTGGGCTATAAAGGAACTACAGCACGGTCACATGACTTCACGTCACCACCGCTAAGCTAAAGGAGGCTAATGTTGGGCTACATGGTGATGTAGAGAAGACATCAGAAAGTGACTTTGTATGATAGGAGACCTTTAAATCATCGCTATACGATGTCATCATTACTGCATAATAACACCATGCGTATAACTCCCCCCCCCCCCCCCCCCCTCTCCCTTTCTCTCCCCCTCAGTACCCCTAAGTCCCTCCCCCAGTTTGTGGGGGGGAAATCGTGTAAGTCGGTGTCAGGCTGCAGTTTGAAGGTTCAGGCAGCAGATGGAGCTGTTTTGGCGTTTTGTCCTGACGGAGGACGGAAAGACGTCCGAAACGCCGTGGAGGCTGCAGTCAAAGTCCAGCCAGGGTGAGACACACACACACACACATACACACACACACACACACACACACACGCACAGAGACACAGAGACACACACACACACACACACAGAGACACACACGCACAGAGACACACACACACACAGAGACACACACGCACACACGCACAGAGACACAGAGACACACACACACACAGAGACACACACTCACTCACACACACACACACACACACACACACACACAGGGGCACACACACACACACAGAGACACACACACACACACACACAGAGACACACACTCACTCACACACACACACACACACACACACACACAGGGGCACACACACAGAGACACACACACACACACACACAGGCACACACACACACACAAAGTACTGCATGTTCAGCCATCAAATCACATGTTGTGTTTTCAGAGTTAATAAACACACTACGGGAACATTCACACTCCACTGTAGATAAGAACTGACACACACACACACACACACACACACACACTCTTTAATCAGCAGATATCTCCTTTGTTATTGGTCTATTTGAATAAACAAAGGCAGTACACACATGTAGTCCACAGCCTATCGAGAAATAACAGAGGGAAATTCAGAAGACATGTTTTTGTGTCTCACTTTGACAGAGTTGATTTTCATTTCGTAAATGTTTTTCTTACTTTATTGTATTTATTTTCTTGCTTATTTACATACTTTTATGCCATAAAATCATCTATTTATTACCTCCGTATCGAGCATGTATCACATACACCTGCTGCATTTGTGCTAATATGTCTTAACCTAAAGGATTATAACTTATAGTAACGATAACCCAAAAGCAGCAGGTTTTCACTGGGCATATCTAGTTAAAATATAAAAGCTTTTACTGTTAAACAAAGCTCTTACGCTGTCAAAAAAACACTTTTATAGTTATGTTATTTGGCCTTTTATAAAATATGTTTATCAAGGCTTTCAGACGGTCACAAGGACAAACGCCTGATAGTCATCACGGCGTTACATATGCATTTATCACCAGGCAGAGTTCAATTTGACACATTTGCTGAGTCAGTATCAGTAAATCAATAAAGTACATGAGTATCACAAGAGTTTGATTATTCTGAAGTGCAATAAAGTCCCAGTCCCTGTCAGTGCATGCTCACTTCTTTAGATTTATACCCATCATTCCCAGCTTATAGATGAAAACAATCAAATGCAACCAGGTTTTAAAGACATGGCGACCTTTCCCCCCCATAGGAATGAATGGGGAACAGACGTGAACACAGCTCAAAATCACACGACTTTGAGGTCGTACAGATTCGCCATACTTTAACGTAGAAAGAAGATTACAAGTTTAACCTGCTCTCCAGACTCTCCACTTTATTGGACTGAAAGGGTTTTTTGATAGATGGAACACTTTTCCTCAAATCACAGTTTAAGTTTGGTGAACATTTCAGACGGTTTCAGATTTGATATGGGGCGGAGTGAGTGATGACATCATCAGGTTAGAGGGGCTTTAAAATCTCCTGGAAAAAAAGATTTTAAACCGGCTTTCAATCCCATAATATCCACACTTTTCATATGATTGTGGAGGATTTGAGAAGCAAAATGAGTCAGCGTTGTCTCGATGCCTTTATGTTACCAAATGTACCGATAAATCTGGCCTAAAAGTGTCCTTGTGTGACAGAAACTCCAGCTGCCTCGCCTATAGACGCAGCAGGTCACCAGGGTAACCTTGTTGCCGGGCAGATTAGGGTAGTAGTGTCGTCATCAGAGCAAATACACCCAGAAACAAACTTACACACACACAAACACACACACACACACCTGAAAACACACACACACACATTTTATTTTAACATCTGTCTTTCTTACAGCTGGATGAAAAAGAGTGCGTCTGCACGCGCTCAGTCGCTCTTTTCTCTGGCTAAAGGCCTGGAGGCGAAGAGGCGGGACTTAAGTGCGTCAATCAACACTCAGACCGGCCTCTCATTGGACAAGGCCGACGAGGAGGTGGAGCTTAGCATCGCCAGGCTCAATGATTGGGCGGCTTACTGCGACAAACTGCAAGGAGGAACTCCAGTGAGGCTTTTATTTATTTTATACGTAGTTTATATATATATATAAGCGTATCCAATACAGGGGTGCAGAGATGTGGCATTTCTGTGTTGGACCCTGAAGGCATCATCTCCGTGGTCCAATAGGACATTTCCATGTGACGTGAAGTCATGTGACCGTGCTGTAGTTCCTTTATAGCCCAACATTAGCCTCCTTTAGCTTAGCGGTGGTGACGTGAAGTCATGTGACCGTGCTGTAGTTCCTTTATAGCCCAACATTAGCCACCTTTAGCTTAGCGGTGGTGACGTGAAGTCATGTGACCATGCTGTAGTTCCTTTATAGCCCAACATTAGCCACCTTTAGCTTAGCGGTGGTGACGTGAAGTCATGTGACCGTGCTGTAGTTCCTTTATAGCCCAACATTAGCTTTTTACTTCAAAGGGGAGACATGGAGATGCTGCCTTCAGGGTCAAACACAGAAATAAGTCCTCCCTGCTCCTCTCTATGTTGATGATTCTCAGTAACATGGTCTCTCTCTCTCCCCCTCCCCCCCAGTCTCTCCCCCTCTCTGGCTCTGCTCTCTCCCTCCCTGAGGCTCTGGGGGTAGTGGGAGTCGTCCTCCCTGATGAGAACCCTCTCCTCTCTATGGTCACTCTGCTCGGAGCAGCCATCTCTTTTGGAAACGCCGTCATCTTGATCCCCAGTGAGAAGAATCCACTGCCTGCCCTGACCTTCATTCAGGTAGGTGATGGGACATCCTTCAAAATAAAAGAATGTACGTGTAACTGTAAATACTGATGTTCCTCCTCCTCTTCCTCCTCCTCCTGCTCCTCCTCTTCCTCAGGTGCTCCAGGCTTCAGATCTTCCTGCAGGATTAGTGAATATCATCACTGGTTATAAAGATCAGCTGACGGTCTCTCTGGCCAATCACAGCGTCATTAAGGCCATCTGGTACTGGGGCAGCGCTGAGGTAAACACACACACACCTACACAAGCACAAATACACACACACACACACCTACACACACAAGCACAAATGCTTTGCTTACTTTGCTTATGGTTGTCCATCGAATCCGATGATGACGTCACATCACACACACACAAGCACAAATACACACAAGCACAAATACACACACACACACAAGCACAAATACACACACACACACACAAGCACAAATACACACACATCACACACACACAAGCACAAATACACACACATACACACACACACAAGCACAAATACACACACACACACACACACACACACAAGCACAAATACACACACATCACACACACACAAGCACAAATACACACACACATACACACACACAAGCACAAATACACACACACACACACAAGCACAAATACGCACACACACAAGCACAAATACACACACACATACACACACAAGCACAAATACACACACATACACACACACATACACACAAACTTAAACGGGCAATTTCATATATTATTTTATTCTTATATTTGTGGAGAGCTGGAAACGTTGGACTCATGATGGATGAACTGTCCGCACTAGATTCAAATATTAATATATTTATATATATTTTTTGGGCATTTAGACTTTTTATGTATATTTAAAAAAATAATTTGTATTTTTTTCAATTTCCATTTTCAATTTTTTATTTATTTGTTTTATTTTTATATTGTAAGTTTGAATATTTTTATACTTTTATATTTTATACATTTATATAGATTTTTTTGTTTACATATTTCGTTTATATATAGATTTTTTATATTATATATTTACATATAAAATCTTGTTTTATTTATCCATTCAGTCTAATCACGCTTCACCGAAACATTTTGAACCAGGACTTTTACTAAAACACACAATCCCCACATTAACCCCTCCGGTTCTCCGGTTCTCAATTTCATAATATTATAATAGGGAGGCGTGTGGTGCAGTGGATGGTGCGTTGGAATCAGGGGGTCACAGGTTCAAACCCCAACAAAAAAAATACAAAAATAAAAGACAAAAAATATATAATAATTAAATTAAAATACAAACATTTAAATTACAAAAATAAAGCAATACTAAATAAAAAAAATACTACAAAATTCAAAAATACAAAAAAATACAAAATGATTAATTATGAACCCCCTGTTTCTCCGGTTCAGGGATGTCAGTTCGTCCAGCACTCCTGCAGCGCTCCTCTGAAAACACTGCTGCTCTCCATCCAGCAGAAAGGGGGAGAAAGGGGGAGAGACTGGACTCACCCCTCCATACTGGAGGAGATGGGGAGGAACGCCGTGCAGTGGAAGAGCATCTGGATCCCCACGGCATGAGGGGGAGAGATGGGGAGATAACAGCTGTTAAAGGGGGAGATATCTGCTGATTAAAGGGGGAGAAAGAGGGAGATATCTGCTGATTAAAGGGGGAGATATCTGCTGTTTAAGGGGGAGATATCTGTTGATTAAAGGGGGAGAAAGAGGGAGATATCTGTTGATTAAAGAGGGAGATATCTGCCGATTAAAGGGGGAGATATCTGCCGATTAAAGGGGGAGATATCTGCCGATTAAAGGGGGAGATATCTGCCGATTAAAGGGGGAGATATCTGCCGATTAAAGGGGGAGATATCTGCCGATTAAAGGGGGAGATATCTGCCGATTAAAGGGGGAGATATCTGCCGATTAAAGGGGAGATATCTGCCGATTAAAGGGGGAGATATTTGCCGATTAAAGGGGGAGATATCTGCCGATTAAAGGGGGAGATATCTGCCGATTAAAGGGGGAGATATCTGCCGATTAAAGGGGGAGATATTTGCCGATTAAAGGGGGAGATATCTGCCGATTAAAGGGGGAGATATCTGCCGATTAAAGGGGGAGATATTTGCCGATTAAAGGGGGAGATATCTGCCGATTAAAGGGGGAGATATCTTTATAAATAAAGGATCAGGTTTAATTAAAAGAGAATTGGTACCAAACAAGGATTGAATGTCAAAATGTCTTAGTATTTGTTTTTAAATGACCTTTTATTTCACTGTATTTCCATAATTTCTTTGTGGAAACGAGCTATTCTTCAGATCAGAAGTTAGCCATCTGTGATACCTGAAGAGATGTGAGAAAGAGAAACGTCAACCGGACAAAAATAGAGCAAAATCAAGTGAGCGAGCAGAATGAGAAATAAAGAGATTAAATATATTAACGGTTTAAATGTTAAGATTAAAATGAAGCACTTAAAACAGACTTACTGAAAACCTCAAAAAACGTACTTTCATGAAGGCCACATGTGATGAAGTTTATTCCTCTAATATGTCAGAATAAACTACATTACCTGCGTCCTTTATAATGACTATTCCGTCAATTAAATGTAATAATACGCTTATTTTTTTAGTGTGTTTTGCAGTATTTAGACGACAATGAAGGATGATTCACAGATAATGAGTTTGTAGGAGCGAGTCACGGTTAGATCAGGTGTTTTGGAAGGAATTGTTGATCATAAATAGCAAAAAACTAGCAAACATCTATTGTTAGAGCTAACTCAGTGACCTTATGTGCCAAATATATAAAGTATAAGTTGAGAAAACACCACAATAACATGGCTAAAGAGAGAGATGCTATTCCTGCAGCATGAACACAGGAGGACTCTACCTCTATATGTTGTGTTTCTGTGTTGGTCCCTGAAGGCACCATCTCCTGGTCAATGGGATTTCAGAGGTAGAATAAAATGTCTTATTTTTCTTGAATACATTCCTTTTATAAACCTGAAACCTCGTCTGCCTTACAGGTCTTTCAATGACTCAGCAATAAACGATCAATGTTGTGACTGAAATCAAAATGTACTGTTTGTTTATTACTGAACAATAATCCAAACCTTTAAAGCCATTAAAAACACATTCCTTCTGAAATATTGTGTGTTTTCCTTTATAGCCCAACATTAGCCACCTTTAGCTTAACGGTGGTGACGTGAAGTCATGTGACCGTGCTGTAGTTCCTTTATAGCCCAACATTAGCCTCCTTTAGCTTAGCGGTGGTGACGTGAAGTCATGTGACCGTGCTTTAGTTCCTTTATAGCCCAACATTAGCCACCTATAGCTTAACGGTGGTGACGTGAAGTCATGTGATCGTGCTGTAGTTCCTTTATAGCCCAACATTAGCCTCCTTTAGCTTAGCGGTGGTGACGTGAAGTCATGTGACCGTGCTGTAGTTCCTTTATAGCCCAACATTAGCCTCCTTTAGCTTAGCGGTGGTGACGTGAAGTCATGTGACCGTGCTTTAGTTCCTTTATAGCCCAACATTAGCCACCTTTAGCTTAGCGGTGGTGACGTGAAGTCATGTGACCGTGCTGTAGTTCCTTTATAGCCCAACATTAGCCTCCTTTAGCTTAGCGGTGGTGACGTGAAGTCATGTGACCGTGCTGTAGTTCCTTTATAGCCCAACATTAGCCTCCTTTAGCTTAGCGGTGGTGACGTGAAGTCATGTGACCGTGCTTTAGTTCCTTTATAGCCCAACATTAGCCACCTTTAGCTTAGCGGTGGTGACTTGAAGTCATGTGACCGTGCTGTAGTTCCTTTATAGCCCAACATTAGCCGCCTTTAGCTTAGCGGTGGTGACGTGAAGTCATGTGACCGTGCTGTAGTTCCTTTATAGCCCAACATTAGCCTCCTTCAGCTTAGCGGTGGTGACGTGAAGTCATGTGACCGTGCTGTAGTTCCTTTATAGCCCAACATTAGCCTCCTTTAGCTTAGCGGTGGTGACGTGAAGTCATGTGACCGTGCTGTAGTTCCTTTATAGCCCAACATTAGCCTCCTTTAGCTTAGCGGTGGTGACTTGAAGTCATGTGACCGTGCTGTAGTTCCTTTATAGCCCAACATTAGCCTCCTTTAGCTTAGCGGTGGTGACGTGAAGTCATGTGACCGTGCTGTAGTTCCTTTATAGCCCAACATTAGACACCTTTAGCTTAGCGGTGGTGTTTCGTGACAGTTGCTTCATTTTAGATTTAAATACATATTTATATATATATATATAAATATAGGCTATATATATATATATATATATATATATATATAAATGTAAGAAGTTTGTAAAATGTCCAATAAAAGATATATTTTTTGTATGTATTCAAAAGATGATAAACATATGAAGTAAAAGTACAAATGTGAAATGAAATTATATATCAAATACACAATACAATTATTTTTTAGTAACATATGAAGTTGAAGTAAAAATATGCAAAAAAAGGATAAAATAAAAATATTTGTAAAAACGTAAGGAGTTAAAGTAAAATGCATAATGAATATAAGATTAAATAAATATTAAAATATAAAATACTTATAGAAACGTTAGGATTTAAATAATAAAACATGCAGGTTGTTCTATGACATGTATAATATACGCAGTTATGACATCAGACACACTTTGGTTAAAACCTCGTCCAGTTATCGCTTCCTTTATTTACTCTCTTGTTCCTCTTGTATTTCCCCAAGCTGTGTGCACTGAAGTGAACTTCCTGTGAGACAGATCACAAGATGCTGAGTCGTAACCATGACTCAGCAAAATGCCTCACGTGATACAAGACTTGACTTATGTTACATGACACAGCACTAAAAAAACTATTTGCAGGTATGAGAATGTGGGATATAAAGTAATAATGCTTTATAGTTCTTTCAAATTCAGTTGTATTTTTCATCACTTCCTGTTTTCAGACCATTTCTTCTTTCATTTGAATGTATTTCTTACACACTTCTTCTTAAAGTAACCTTGAGAGACGTTATTGTTTATAAGCGTGTACCACAAAGTGAACCGTGTTTGTTACATCCCGTGTTTTATTATCATCAGCAGTCTTCCATGCAGGTTAATAGCTTCTTTATCAGTGATGTAACTTATTAGAAAAGTGTCCTCGTGGAAAACGCTGAGTCATCTGATCAAAGAGCCATCATCATCATCATCATCATCATCATCATCATCATCAACCACATCACAGTTTCTAGAAGTTTCCACAGGCCTTCATTCAAAATGCAAAGTAAAGACGATGGGTAAGAGAAGGTGGGATAAAGTGATTAAAGTGTTCTTGGAAATGAATAAATATTCATAGAGAGAGAGACTTCAGCCAAACCAACCACATGTAGCCTATTGATAGAAACTATAATCACTTTTCTTACTTAAAATAACTAAGTACATTTACTCAATACTACTTAAGTACATGGTGTACTTTTCCCCCACTACATGTATTTAATCCCTTTAGTTACTTCACAGATGAATGATGTGAAATATAACCAAGTGTTGAATCAGACTTTAGTTCCACCTGGAGTAAATCCACCAGCTACCCTGCAGTATACAAAGTACTTCAAACTAGCTGCACCTTCACCAGCTTTGAGAACACTTTCATGATCAATCATTATAAAACATATCATATATATTATTCTGAAATGGACCAATCTGCACAACGACTACTTTTACTGTCTTTCACTATATTTTGATGAGAATACTTTTCTACTTTTACTTGAGGAACATTTTGAATGCAGGACTTTTACTGTAACAGAGTATTCCTACACTCTGGTACTTCTACTTTTACTCAAGTACAAGATCTGAGTACTTCTACTTTTACTCAAACACAAGACCTGAGTACTTCTACTTTTACTCAAACACAAGACCTGAGTACTTCTACTTTTACTCAAGTACAAGATCTGAGTACTTCTACTTTTACTCAAGAACAAGATCTGAGTACTTCTACTTTTACTCAAGTATAAGATCTGAGTACTTCTACTTTTACTCAAGTACAAGGTCTGAGTACTTCTACTTTTACTCAAGTACAAGACGTGAGTACTTCTACTTTTACTCAAGAACAAGATCTGAGTACTTCTACTTTTACTCAAGTACAAGGTCTGAGTACTTCTACTTTTACTCAAACACAAGACCTGAGTACTTCTACTTTTACTCAAGTACAAGATCTGAGTACTTCTACTTTTACTCAAGAACAAGATCTGAGTACTTCTACTTTTACTCAAGTATAAGATCTGAGTACTTCTACTTTTACTCAAGTACAAGGTCTGAGTACTTCTACTTTTACTCAAGTACAAGACGTGAGTACTTCTACTTTTACTCAAGAACAAGATCTGAGTACTTCTACTTTTACTCAAGTACAAGATCTGAGTACTTCTACTTTTACTCAAGTTCAAGATCTGAGTACTTCTACTTTTACTCAAGTTCAAGATCTGAGTACTTCTACTTTTACTCAAGTACACGATCTGAGTACTTCTACTTTTACTCAAGTTCAAGATCTGAGTACTTCTACTTTTACTCAAGTACAAGATCTGAGTACTTCTACTTTTACTCAAGTACAAGGTCTGAGTACTTCAACTTTTACTCAAGTACAAGATCTGAGTACTTCTACTTTTACTCAAGAACAAGATCTGAGTACTTCTACTTTTACTCAAGTACAATATCTGAGTACTTCTACTTTTACTCAAGATCAGAGTACTTCAACTTTTACTCAAGTACAATATCTGAGTACTTCAACTTTTACTCAAGTACACAATCTGAGTACTTCTACTTTTACTACAAGATCTGAGTACTTCTACTTTTACTACAAGATCTGAGTACTTCTACTTTTACTACAAGATCAGAGTACTTCTACTTTTACTCAAGTACAAGATCTGAGTACTTCTACTTTTACTCAAGTACAAGATATGAGTACTTCTACTTTTACTCAAGTACAAGATCTGAGTACTTCTACTTTTACTCAAGTTCAAGATCTGAGTACTTCTACTTTTACTCAAGTACAATATCTGAGTACTTCAACTTTTACTCAAGTACAATATCTGAGTACTTCTACTTTTACTCAAGATCTGAGTACTTCAACTTTTACTCAAGTACAATATCTGAGTACTTCTACTTTTACTACAAGATCTGAGTACTTCTACTTTTACTACAAGATCTGAGTACTTCTACTTTTACTACAAGATCAGAGTACTTCTACTTTTACTCAAGTACAAGATCAAGGTACTTCTACTTTTACTCAAGTACAATATCTGAGTACTTCTACTTTTACTCAAGTACAAGATCTGAGTACTTCTACTTTTACTCAAGTTCAAGATCTGAGTACTTCTACTTTTACTCAAGTTCAAGATCTGAGTACTTCTACTTTTACTCAAGTACAAGATCTGAGTACTTCTACTTTTACTCAAGTTCAAGATCTGAGTACTTCTACTTTTACTCAAGTACAAGATCTGAGTACTTCTACTTTTACTCAAGAACAAGATCTGAGTACTTCTACTTTTACTACAAGATCAGAGTACTTCTACTTTTACTCAAGTACAAGATCAAGGTACTTCTACTTTTACTCAAGTACAAGATCTGAGTACTTCTACTTTTACTCAAGAACAAGATCTGAGTACTTCTACTTTTACTCAAGTACAAGATCTGAGTACTTCTACTTTTACTCAAGTACAAGATCTGAGTACTTCTACTTTTACTCAAGTACAAGATCTGAGTACTTCAACTTTTACTCAAGTACAAGATCTGAGTACTTCTACTTTTATTCAAGTACAAGATCTGAGTACTTCAACTTTTATTCAAGTACAAGATCTGAGTACTTCTACTTTTACTCAAGTACAAGATCAAGGTATTTCTACTTCTAAACTTTACAAAAACTCTCCTGAGACTTACTAGGAGTTAGTATTATAAGCGGATTGTAGTTGCATTGAGCCAAATAAGGAGCTGTTTTTGTATAAACTGGTGGCGAGTTTAATTTGTAGGTTTGCTGAATTAGCAAGATAAATATTTTTGTGAAATACAAGTACCTGCCATTTGGGCTTTAGCATAGCACATGATGTGCTTCAGGAAGTGCAGGACGAACAGAGCAGACTGGGTTTGGCTCTGAGTGGAAAAGTACTGGCTCAGTGTCATC